TGAGTGAGTGAGTGAGTGAGTGAGTGAGTGAGTGAGTGAGTGAGTGAGTGAGTGATTATGTAGATAGACAGAAGTATAAAGGGAGGAGAGAGTGTGCGACCGAAGATGAGTGGACATTTGGTATATCCTATCTCTAATCTGCGACCGTATTCATTTCGATGGATGGATAGTTGGTCCATCCTACCTCTATTGAGTAACCGTAAATGTATTGATATATGTGAGGCAGCGAGGTGGAATCAGGCTCTCGTCAATTTTTGAGCATATTAGAGATATTGGTATCATCTTAAAGATTGTTCACTTGTCTTTTTTTGGATGAAAAAAATATCCATCCATACATCTTGAATACAAGTCGAGATATTTGCGAAAGAAGGAGGTGGGGGTCACCTGTTTTCAGAGGTAAAATTAGTGAGAAAATGCCCGCCAAAGATTAGTTATTTCCTTAGCTTAAGAGTCCGTGGTAACTGAAAATGTACATTTTTTGTGCTTTCAACCAACATTTTTTAAAGGAAAATTCCACACAGAAATAAGTTTTTTAATGGGTGTTGAACCAAAAAATAAAATTTGATAAAAATTCACAAACCTACGGAAAAGGGCAAGTTTCTTCACTTTGATTATTTTGACGAGAGCCTGATTCCACCACGCTGCCTCACATTTGTTAAATTCTATCTCTATTGAGCAACCACAAATGGATGGTTTTAGTCGTAATCGTGAGGTTGTTGGTTCGGGGTGCCAAAATGTGTGTGAGAAGCTGGAAGTGCTGTGAACAATTCCATTTTCCGCGTGTAGGAGATTTGCAGTGTCTTATATAGATTTATGAAGAAACGTCTTTTAAAAAAAAAATCTAGCCTCAAGTGTCGTTGAAAATTATGATTAAGTCAAGACAAATTGATACAAACTGTTGTGCAGAGTATGGGTGACACTGATTTACCCGTTAAAAAATGTTTAAGGATTAGTTTCGCCACAAATTTGTGCCCGCACTAGAGTACAAACTGTTGAATACAGCCACTTTACTCCTGGATATGGGTGGCCGTCTTAGACAGTCTTCACTTACATGATCAAAATTGAGTCGTTACGTGATCAAACTTGAGTCGATAGTGCCGTAAAACACCTACTCAATCAATCAATCAACAGTTTTCACTGTGTACCCCCCCTC